GCCCCAAGAAGCTTGTGAAGTTGCCTGAGGCAAACGGCGAGAACAAGGCGAAGGAGGGCAAGGCGAAGGAGCAGGAAAGTAAGGTCAGCAAAGCAACAGCTGACAAAAAGGAAAAAGATGAGAACGAAGCAAAGAAAGCAGGCGAAAGCAAGAAACAGAAGGCGCCAAGGAAAGCAAACAATGGCAGGGATGAAAAGGATTCGATGAAAGCAGACAAAGGCAAGGACAGGGAGGAGTCGAAGAAAGCAGACAAAGGCAGGGATGAGAAGGAGTCGAAAAAAGCAGACAAAGGCAGGGATGAGAAGGACTCGCAGCAAGCAGACAAAGGCCACAAAGACAAGGGTTCGAAGCGCAAGGACAAGGATAGAGACGACCGCAGCGAACCGTCGGAGGAAGGCTCCAAGAAGGAGAAAAAGTCAAAGGGCAAGGCAAAGGAGCAGGAAAGCAGCAAGAGCAAGAACAAGGAAAAGGAGGATGCAAGCAAAGGCAAGCAAATCGAGAAGAAGGTCAGCTTCAAGGACGAGGCAAAGGACAAGCACGCGGACAAAGGAACCAAAAGGAAGAGAACAGAAGATGCAAACGATGAGAACAAGGACGAGGCCAATGACAGCCCAAAACGAAACAGGTCAAAGAAAGAGAAGAAGGACGACAAGCAAGATGGCAACGACAAGTCAAAGCTGGCTGAGGCGGAGAAGGGCTTGCCAAACAGCAACACTCATCACACAGAGTACTTGCGGTACAAAAGATGGTGTCGCAATGCCAAAAGATTTCCAGCGGCTTTGGCATCCCGGGTGGCAACGGAGGAAGGCAGACAGGCCCTGTTCGCGGATTACGTGCAATGTGGAGGGGATGTAAATCAGATCATGCTGAGACACACCCAGTCGCTCAAGGAAGCCCAAAAAAGCAAGATCCGGTACGGGTTTAGAAATGAAAAGTGGGTCCGAGACCACCATGGGGATGCTAAAGCGGAGCGCATCATGAAGCGCAAGGTCGAACTAGGTTTGAAACCAGCCGTTAAGTACTAGAAACCTTTTCAAGTTCTGGTTTGACAAAAATGGCCATAACGCATGTATTCGAAAATTAGGACGATTCCGTGTCCGGAAGCTCCAGACACTGACTTGCTGTACTATGTTTTCATCGAAATTAACATCGATGACATTCGCGAGCTACGCCGCGTTACAACCTTGGAGCTGAATGGAACAGTTGATGCTGACATGTTGGCGGCCTTCACACAGGATAAAATTTGCATGGTTGACTCATGTTACACATCAGGATTTGACGTTGACATGTCGCAGCCCCACTTAGTAACACTCGAGTGAATGTTCCGTGCAGGAAGGTGGTGTTCTGGACGCGAAGAAGCAGCTCTCCGGCGATGGGTCAAGCGCAACAGGTATTGCCAAGGCAGTGCGGAATCAGATGCAGGGAACAGGAAAGGCTGTGAAGAAAAGAAAATCCCAAGGCGATGACCCCACAGAACCCAAGCAGGTGGGATTTTTATCAGTAGGTTTACATTGGAGTATCCCCTCCCAAATTAAGGTGGTGCCCGAGACGCCGCTGCAGAAAGCCAAGAAGTTGGTGAACGATGCGCTGAAAGAGAAGAACAACTGCAGGCATTTTTGGGTATAGGATGCTTTGGTGAAGTGTAGGGTGTGTGGTTTGCTGCCAGGGACAACGCATTCAAATTGCGGCCGATTAAGATGTCAAGCAAACTGATCGAGCAGCTGGTGGCTGTCGAGAAGCTACTTGGGGCCAAGGCTGGTTGGTCTTTCGAATGATTTCAATCAAGCTTGCTAGGACCCTCGAGTTCAAGATAATAATGTTAGTAATCCCCAACGAATAATCCATATGCAGGCTGGCCAGCTTCAAGCCCTGATCGCATCAAAGAAGAATAAGAACAAGCACTACAAAGTCATCAACGCCGAGGCAAGTTTCATTTCCAGGGTTTGGCTTGTGCGTCCTGTTTGGCACAATGCTGGACAGATCGACAAGCTCAAGGAGACGGCTAAAGAACGTGTGGAGCTGGCAAAGGCTCTTATCCGCGCTACTGACAAGAAGAAAGCTCCGCAGGACACCAGCAAAAAGTCTGGGGGCAAAAAGGCCAAGGACAAGAGCAAGAGTGATGCCACAGGAGTGTAGCTTCAGCGAGTGTGGATGTGTTCGTTTGTAAGTCTAGCGTAATCTCTTAAATCAAGTGTTGTTAGTGCTGGGGCTGCCTCCTGTATCAGACCCTGGGGCCTTAGACGCTTGCATCGCTGCTTGTACGGGGCACTGTAGGGTTGCGCGTCATGAATTTGCAAAGTTTCGTGAGTGTGTGATACTACATAAAAAAAGTTGTTGGGAACCTTTTTTTGTTTCTTCACGGGGAGCAACTCGCGTAGCAGTGCAGCCGCAGTGAAAGCATTTTGATGGCCCGGCCCGGGAATGCGGCTTTTTAACTCGTATCCGAACGCTCAAAGTTGTCCTCGCCGCCACGCAGACAAAAAGCGGGGTTTGTAAATGCCTTGGAATGAGATATGCCTTGAGAAAACCGACACGTTCTGTTTTAGAAGTGTTACTAATCCACCGCAGGGCGAGAGATCGTTCAAGATCACGAACACCTCCGGATGGGAGTCGACCCTTGGGCCGCCTATCTCAAACATGTTCACTGATTTTAAGAAGCATTGCGATACTGAAAGATTCTGATTCTGAGGCTCGGGTCACAAGTTCTTTGATGATTGCATCCGACCTCCTTGTCTGACAGGTTGCCGGATTGCACTTATATTGGCTGGGTTTTGTGATTCCAAAACGAATTCAACCAAGGTCGAGATGTGTTGACACATGCCAGCGTTTCAGCCAAACGGATTCTTCGAGACATTTGCTCTGGGGCTTCTTGGGTTACATAGTAAACACATTTGTTTGTAGTTGGTTCGATTTTTAGTAAAACTGTTGTCGGTATATTTCACTAGCGCACCCTGCAGAAACTACACGCGTCAACTGGAACTTCGCAAGCTAGCGACCTGGTGGCGGATGGTAGCCATTGTCCCTTGGCGAAGATTTTGGCTGACTGGAAATCTGGTGGCCATCCAGAAAGAAGTTTTCAGAGGCAATTGTTCCAAATATTTCGGCATTATTAAAACCCATTTTAAAACCCATTCATTGTGATTTCGGTTCTGGGTTCGGGTGAGCTTTCCTAAATGCAGGTGGTACGCTACCATTGCAGATATTCGTCCAGGTTTGGTAGAGCTTCCGCTGCGAGTTACTCAAGATGATGGGGGGGTCTTGCAAACCTTGCACATTGTTGACGTGACCTGGCCTTGGGACATTCTGAGCTGGCTTTACAACACCGACAAGCTTTTCAAGTGGGGGTCCAATCGAGAAAATGTTCAACAGGTTCATGCAGACCATCTTATTTATTGGGAGATGCTGTCTGAGGAAGAATCTATCAAACAGTTGAATCTTGAAGACCCGGCCCGAACATTCCCCTTGTTTTGGCACGCCGACGGCGTTCGCATTTACAAGCAACAGAAATGTTGGATTTATTCCTATTCTGGTGCAATGAAGAAAGGGCCGTCCCTGTCATCAAAGTTGTTGTTTGTGTTGGTCCGGGAGAACATGATATGGAAACCCCACACACATGACAGAATTGCCGATGTCATCGGCTGGGTGCAGACAGTCTTGCAAACAGGTCGTTTTCCCGAATGCGATTTCAATGGCTCGAAGTGGCCCTCGAATTCCAAGGAAGCTGAAAAAGCTGGAGATTGGTTTGCAGGCGGCTATCGCTTTGCCTTCTCTGCTTTCAAGGGTGACTGGGAGGCGAGGGTGACCGTTCACAAGCTACAGAGATCATACAACCACAACAACGTTTGTGAGCATTGTGCAGCTACGAAGGTCCAGAACGAGTTCAATTATCGAAACTTTTCGCCAAGGGCGCCCTACTTGGATGTAACTTTCACGCACAACGACTATCTTCTCATGACCCCGGACCATTTACAGTCCCATTGGATTAACGTGCCCGGGTGGACGAAGGACAGGAACCTAGAGGAGCCTTTCATCATCACTATATGTTGGTTTTAGTATTTGTTGAAAGACGCACCAAAAACATTTACCTAGCTTTCGCTTCCCCAACGATTTGACATATTCCGCTCTATGCTGAGGATTTGCTGCATGTGCTACATCAAGGGGTGGCCTGTTCAGTGATTGCTGGTCTGGTGTGCGCGCATGTTGAAGCGAAGTTTGGCGAAGTTCTGACGCTCAAAGGCTTGGATGATCAGTTGCAAGGACCAGTTTGGAAACACTACAAAAGCTGGTGTCGGGCTAAAAAAGTTCCGGGATGTGGACACCGATTCACGCTGACTAGATTTGGCCGCGATGCCTGGAATGTGGCCCCTGAGTTGCAAAGTTGTTACAAAGCCTACACTGTCAAGATGCTCATTTACTGGTTGCACGCTTTTCTTGAAGAGTTCAAGGATGAGGCCCCGGGGGGATACACGCGTGCCCACACATCATATGCGCTGGCCAAGATGCAGCATCTTTTTGACAAAAGTGGACCATTTTTGGACAACAACGTGAAAGACGATTCTGTAAGGCATGGGAAAATCTTTCTCCTGCTTTACCAGTCGCTGGCTGTAGCAAATTTGGGAAACCCCAGGGTGAACTTCAAAGTGGTTCCGAAATACCACAGCTTGCTTCATTTGTTGCTTTACGTGGCGCGCACATCCCGAAATCCGAGGTGCATGTTCAAAGAGATAACTAAAGTTGTGTTTGTTTCCCCATTAAACCCTTAACCCCAGACCCATGAACTTTTTCTTTACATACTTTTTTCACTTTTTCTGATTGGCTTTCTGTAAAGAGATTAAAGCGCTCATCCCCCACAGGTACGAGCACTGCTATCAAGACGAAGACCTGATGCAACAATTGGGTCGTATCTGTTCCTCTTGCCACCCGAACACAATGGGAAAGGTTGCATCTAATCGCTACAGAGCTTTGCTGGAGTTTGGCGATGTGTTCTGACCAAAAAAGCCGCTTTCCGATTCCCTGATTCAGTCCCAATATTCGTGTAGCTCCAATACATGGTATGGCAGCAAATTAGCCCCAACCTCTCAATTCAATGGCGCTTTTCAGGCGCAAGATTGTAGATTCTGGGTTATGTAGTATAGAGGCTCTTCGCCTATGCAAAGTCAATCAGGTTTAGGCACAAGAGCATGGGGTTAAGATAAGCCCGGCCGCTATGGTACTCACGCAGCTCGTTGGCACTGGGAACTTCAGGAGAAGGCAGCTTGATTCGAGGGGAATGGTCCAATTCATGACATGAATGTTTCCCAAAATGGGGGGTCCCTCAAATATCCCTAAATGCTTTATTACAAGAACCCCTTAATGGAGACACCTCATTTTGGGAAACTTTCACATTATTCCCAGGTCGTTCCGCCACTTCCCTTGCACCTAGTAGCCTAATACCCTGAGACCCTGATACCCTAAACCCTCGCCTCCATTTTGAGAAGGCCAATTTGATTCAGATCTCGGCTTATATTTTGAGGTTATGGCGGTTAGGGGTGTAATTCAGTCATATTGGGGTTTGAGTCAAAGATTATTATAAGGGTCGGGAGATTGGGCGGGTTTCCGGATTTGAGGTTGGGGATTCATATCGTCAATCTGAATTGAACCCACGCAGGATGATCTTCAAACTAAAAAGGATGGACCAATACAAGAGCAATAATAATGAATCCAGTGAAGGGCATTGCAGGTTAAGGGTGCTGATGGCTGTAGTGATAGGCCCTCGTATTGGTCCATCCGCAAGGGTCTTTGGCACGGGCACACACAGTTGGAACTATGTGAAGCTTAAGGTTTAGGGCTTAAGGTTTAGGGCTTAAGGCTTAGGCCTCAAGGTTTAGGGCTTAGGAATTCATTCCCTTCAACGAGCAACTTCAAAGTGAAGTCATGTCTTGGCCACTCTCCAAATTAATGTGGAATAAAGATCTTTGTCCCTCTTCGAATTATAAGGCTATATAAGATTCTATATTAATTTGGAGAAGGCCTGGGCATGAAACGGTGTGTTGGGTCAAGGTTAAGGGTCTAGGATTTACGGCGATTGCTTTAGGTTTTGAGGTTTGCCTTTTCGGGCGTGGTATTTAGGGTCACCGCCTCACAAAAGCTAAACCCTTAAACCCTAAATCCTAGGCTGCTGTCCTGTCGCCCGCCAACATCAACCCTCTCTCGAACTTAATTGCAAACCCTTACCCCCCTCCCTTGTAACCCTAAACTTTTATTCTTATTATTACTATTATTTTCTATGGCACGATGGCTCAAGCACATGCTGCGCTTGACTGTTCAAACACCAATTGACTCAAAAACCTTTCACTCTAGCTCGATGGCTCAAGCGCACGATGGTTCCAACACCAATTGGCTCAAAAACCTTTCCACGGTTCCAGCTCGATTGCTCAAGCGCACGACGGCTCAAACACCAATTGGCTCAAAAACTTTTCCGCGGTTCTAGCTGGGTCAGAACCATTGCATGCAAGGTATGCAAACAATTGCTTTCTACATAGTACCGTTTATGATTGCGCGCCTGGCGCGCAATC